AGTATCGCGAATTAATCGGCGCACCGCAGGTTGTGAAGTAACACTGGGTGAATGATGAACTTTTACATTTTAACCGCACGCGTATAGTAAGTTCATGCGTAGGAATGTCGGCTACGTAAACCGGCTCGCAATGATCGCGAAGTGCGTAGAGGAATTTAAATTTCATACAATATTGCAGTAGACTTTGCACCGAGTGAACGGCAGGCATGCTTGATACCGATATCGATCTCGCCTCTGTGATATCTTTTTTGAGCGAAATAGATTGGGTTTTTCAACATCCCTTACCACTCGTGTCATATTTATCGGCACGTTTTCTAAATAAATCGTGAAACTACATATATTTCTCAGAAGTAATCATTTCTCTCGCATAATCGAAAAAAGCGAAGTGAAAACCAAATCAGACAAGAATAGACATCGAAATAATAGATATGAAAAGTTGACTACTACTATCTTCCCTTATCTACTTCCGAGAGATTAATATCCGTTTAACCGATGCCCGGACAAAATTGAATCTCGTACGTATAAGAAGTATAAAGTAATTGGTCGGCTGAAAAATAATTTAAAAATAGATCCTGGGCATGTGTCATTTAAACTTCAGCTGTCACGTCTCTTGGCACTAATTTTGATTTTATATATGGACCCGAAACATAGCTTCCACATTGTTTTGAGATAATGTTCGAGGCCCGAGGTGCTCGGGAACTTAACGTCTCTGCGATCAAGGCAATAAATGTAAAAGCTTACTCAATTTCCTCATTTTACTATATGTCAAAACTGCGATTCGCTTAATTGCGAATAATCGCAACAAAGAATCGCAACATAAAACAAAGACTCTATTATTAGTAGCTACAGCAGTTTTCTCAATTTCTAAATTTCACATACATATAGTTACCGATTAGATCAATCGTTCGATTTTCAAATATAAAGATTTTATTACGAAAGTTTGATTGACTTCTGATTCTTTGTAATTGAAACAAATTTAAAGTGTTCTGAACTGATTTGACCAGCGAGCGGTACATTTTGCCTAAGATTGTACGCATCGTCGCCTGACAATGGCACCGTGGTTGGGCAAAATGTTTCTAAGTCTGTACTAGACGATTACAGCGGCTCCGCGACCGACGACGTATTCGTAAGTACGTGGCATAGTGTGGGCAGTGCGCTGTAGCAGTCGTTCGTACCAGCACGTTGCGAGCAGTCGGCCATGGCATACTTACCGATGTCAATCACACCGGCAGGCATGCACCAACGCCTTTGTGTTGGTGCACATGCATATCGTCCGTGTGGTTGCAACGTGTACACGCACGCGCGCGTACACACCCGAGCCGTCTCGAAGACGCTCCTCGAATCTCGTAGCCTTTTGGCCTTTAACCCGATGCAATTTCCTCGAGCATTGATATCGCAGCTGCGTCGGCGCGACGCGGCGAATCGCGCGCGACGATTCTAGTTCTGAACTTGATGAGAAAAACTCTAAAAAAATCGTATTTAAGAAGTGAGTCTCTGGACCATCATCGCGCGAGTCAAGCCGAGGGCTGATCGGTGATAATCGAAATTGAAATGACCGTTACTGCGATTATCGATTTAAATAGTGAAGGATACCGGGGATCGATCGTCGGTTCTATTACATTTTTTCTTGTTTTCGTTGACGCGCACTGATACCGTATCTCACCTCTTTATAACATAACGACTTATTGTCTATAATAATTGAAAACGGTGAGCGTTTTTCCGCTCTGTTTCAATACCACCGGGCAACAGCGATCGCTTATTGATGACCGTGACCGTTCTGTTTTCGAAATACTTGTTTCTCTTTAGTCCTCACTGTGTATTTTCTTCTAGAATTGAAACTATTATAGAAAAGCTGCTTAATTGATCATGTAATAATCTATAGTTTGTTTTTCTTTCCATCTTTTTGTCTTCGCTTTTACTAATCATTTATTAGTATTGAGTAGTCGAAAATAGGTTGAAAAGATTACATTTTACATATATGTATAAATAGAAGTTTAGCACGTACTTCGTTTGCTTTGTTTCTCTCGACAGACTTTATTCCTTCCAAGAGGGTTCGGGTAATATCAGGCGTTCGGTCACGTTTCTCGCTGACACTTGGCGCCATAATTGCCACAACTTGGCAGAACCGTACGCAAACAAAAGTGGTCAGTTTCGGTAAATAATTTTCGATAACGCGTAACCAGTTCGCTTCTCGTTTCCTTGTCCAAAGGCTGTTTGCCAAATATCAATTCTAACAATATGTCGTTCTTATATTTAGATCGAAAGGGTCCGCCTCTTTGATTGAAAAATGAGTTGAATAGAAAATTTTTTATGGTTTATAAAATTAGTTGATGACTATTTCTCTAATTTTAAGAGTATTTTTGGACGACACTCAGAAGATTTCAAATATTTTCCATAAAATTACAAGTTTATCCAATTGTTAGACTCGTCGATGCTTGCATACGCTTTTGCAAACATTCATTCATCATCCAACGAAGAATAATATTTTCTTTCTCGTACTTATTGTAGAAATCTCTTCGGAGGAATAAACATGTTGTCTCGGTGCGATGCGATATTTCTTATTCAGACTTGTTGCATTCATCCAAATGCATTAGACGCGGTTCATTAAAAGCCTCTTGTCTAATCGAGTATGATACAGAGTCCGTGATCTTGATGGAATTTCCTCCGCGATCGGAGACGATCCATCTCGCTCGATGGTTCGCGTTATGTCAGTCGGAACGACAACTTCTCGCGAGATCAAACAAGTTGGAAGCCATAAGGCCAGTCGACGACCATGAGAATCGACCTCAGTGAACGATCGCTGCCAGATATAAATTCCACTTTGGCTAACAAATAGAAACTGAATTTTTCACTGCTCTTTTCGCGATCGTGGCAAGGTGTTCAAGTAGTTCAAATATAAATCACTTTATTACGTATAAACAGCTAAATCTAATTGTAAGTTATATTAGTCAAATCAGATGATTCATCGCGAGCCTATGTTTGGGTATTTAATTTAACCTATGACCCTCGCACTTTGTTAAATATCCAATCTCTCCACAAAGATAAGCTCGCAGCTCCGTGCCATCGCAATCGGTCCTAATCTACAGGAAACGAAAAGGTTCGTAATTATGTTCACACGAACCATTAGATCCTTTCCACCCCTTGCACCTAGTCATGTACAGTGTCATGCACCTTTCGAGTACGCGTTTCCTCCCGTCGAATGGCGTTATTCGCATTCGAATACCGGTACTTGGTGACTGCACGTGTCAGGGTCAAATGACATCATCCGAACGCAAGGATCTTCGCAATGGTGCGGCGACGTTTCTGTCGTCGTAATTTATCCCGGCGTGCGTTCATGCTGCCGGTGAACAAGTATCTAACCACGGAATCCTCTTTAACCGATCGCCGTCTCAGCAAACGACGGTACAAGCGCTTTTGTTCACGTTTCATTCTTGTTCGTCATCACGAATATTTTTCACAGATTTTCTTTTCCCATTGTGCGTGCGAATGTAATCATTCGTCCATTTATCGTCTAAGAATTGTACAACATATGCATCGTGTTGTGAAACGTACATGAAGAATCGTAGATGTCGTTATAGAATTGGCTTCAATTTCTCGCAACAATAAAATTTAATATGAAGTATAACTGATTTACTTGATATAATTATTACTTGATTCGAGAAACGGAACTTTATTTCAGGCATTTAAAATGTGTCTCATTTGATTGTACGAGATATGATTAAAATGTAAAATTGCAAGTAATACCACCGTCACATAATTTGCATTGGAACACTCGACACACTCGCGCATATACTTGTTTTATTCTAAACGTTGCACCGAGTCACCAAACGGTGTTTGAAGCACTCCGCTTAACCCGGTCGCTATTTTCGTCCCTACGTCATGTCAGTTCGCATTATAAAGTCTTTAGTTCTAATCCGTCGCAACAGTAGCGGCACGCAGCAAGACTCACAGCCCTGTTGCATTCGTTAATGAATCACAATAAGGTCGACCGCTCGTTAAGTCATTTTTCTTCCATGTGCAAAAGTGCGCGACGTATCACCATCGGAGCGCCAAACGGATGTATTATTCAGAACATATACAGATATGTACAAATGCTGCGTACATACGTTTCTCTCTCATGGTGTGCCGATCCCGATCCCAATTCCGGTCGAACGTTACGAATTTTTTTCGCGAAACGCGAAGCCAGTGAAATGCCGCGACAAATCGGTTTGCCTTCGAGCGCGGTTTCTCGGATCACCTAGATGATGAAATACGGCTGGTGTTCTTCGTAAGCCCATTTTCCCGCAAAACCGTGCGCGAACGCTTATTAGCGTGTTCACGCTCTTCAAGAACGTAATACGGCAGTACAATATGTAATTTTCACGTCGCGTGGTTAATTTCTCTAATCGTTCATCAAACGCGTTCCGTTAAAGTTCATCGTGATACTGAAACGCACTTCTGCCTGTGGAATGCGACGACGGCGACGACGACGTCAAACCACGCGAAATCACGCCGAAACAGCATCCGAGATGCTACGAAACGCGTATTGGAGTTCGTGGTTCGTAATGCCGCGATTACTGGCTGGTATATTTAGTTTGCGATTGGCATAGGTCGCGACGAGTCTGCTAGTTGTTATCTATTTTCTACACACGTGGCCTCTATAGGAGACTGAGATCTAGCCGGTTATAATCGGTGCCAGCGCGGTATAATAGAAGCTTGGTGACTTTCGGCATAAGGTTTCTTGCTGCCTGTGGTCAATAAGAAAACGACGGATGTTCATGCAAAATAAAGCATTTATAAGAATATACAATTTAAGATAGGCAGGACAAGTGTTCAGAGATTTTTAAAATCTTCAGAAAGTGTAAAAATCAGAAGTTCCTAATGAGAAAAATGTTCATATTAAAAATATATCGATAGTTCTAGTGTAGTTAAAATAATTTGAATATAACTAATTATTCTGTGAAAATTAAAAATATTAATAGCAAAGATAGCGATTTTACTTATTACATATTTGGCACCAGAAGAAGTCTGTATAAATAATCAATCTATTAATTCAAGACTAAATTAATAATAATCTCATTTCTTACTGATACAGCGTGGATAAAAATGTATGACATTTGAAAACTGCTTATAAATGTCCATTAAAATAATGTGTTATTAAATACAGGGTAAAGTATAACACGTTTGGTTGCACTGCTTAAAAATTATATTACACTTCAAACGCATGTCCCGGAGTTTGTCAATTATTGATTAACGATGGAGAGAGAAAGAGAGAGAGAGAGAGAGAGAGAGAGAGAGATTTTTAAATTTAGTTTAAGAAAAGCGATCGTTAACACGTAGAAAGAAAAGGTCAGGGCACGGTCTGAAAAGTACGGATGAATAATTGGTGGCGTGGCCGTGGTTCGTAGTACGCATGATTCGATTCGACTAGAGTGTAGCAAGCAGGCCGGGTGCACGTAACGTCGTTGCATTCGTGCGGCCGTTTGTGTGCCCCGACCTGTCCCAAGCTCACCGTCATTGGGAGACGGCTCGCGTCGAGTAGTGGCGAGGAGGTTGGACTAGGTTAGGGACATCACCAGCTACTGCGCTCATCCGCCAGAATAACTTTAACCGGGGTTGCACAACTCTGTAGTTCCCGCCATGTGCCGCGTGCTCCTTTATTCACCGGTGTCTTTAACACTAGAATAATCACGTATCTCCTAAGTACTAATTGTAAGTACAGAAAGGGTGGGAATGTTTCCCCTTGTAAGTTGAATAATTAGATCTCCAATCATTTTAAGTCGATTATTGTAATATTAATTGCACCGAATCAGGCTCTTTGTCTTTGAGATAAAACAAATAACGGTTGATAAGCCAAAAATAAAAGACGAGACAGATATTTCATTTTTTAGTTCTGCCAGATTTAATAATCACTTGGCGGTGCTTATATAAGTTCTGCTTACTCACGTACACAGTTTTGCGACCTTGTATTCACGAATGGGAAATAGCGCAACCTAGGTGAATAATGTTGCAATTAGCATCGAACATAACATACGTGTTAGCAAAAATATTTACGTTCGGTATATTGCTAACGAAAAACGATGTTTTACGTTTAATAATTTATCAAGCAGCGATAATATTAGGAACATTATCGGCTATTATCTTCTAACTTCCCGCATTTCATTTATACGTGTCGGACTTTGTTAATTTTAGCTTCGCAACGTGCGGATTATTAAGACAACTGAAATGGGGCAATTGGGTTTCGCTCGATTCCTGGTAGCCATGAATTTTGATCGGAAGTTCGTTCTCATCAAAGAATTCCCGCGTTGAAATTCAAAGAGCATGAAAAACTACCATGATTACACAACGGTATCAAAGATGGGTTATTAAAAACTAATCTATCAAAGGCCACTGTATCTCGCACTTGTTCACACGTGACGCAATTGAAATCGTTGCTTCGATTTTTTATGTAATTAAAAGGAAAGGTCTGAACACGACGTTCTTGAACTACTAATAAGAGACCCGTTCGTCCGTCCATTTAACATGTACCTACACCGTGCATTTGCCTAACAATTGTACGACGTAGTCGCGATCGTACACCGCGACACGTATCGGCTATGGTCTCTCACGTATTTATAGATTACAGAGAAATCGTACTGCCCTACTGTGAACGAGCGATCGTGCAAATTGATCTACGATGATCCTGAGAATAGATAGCAGCCAATTAAACAGAAACAATAGCCTTAGGCAACCTGAAGGCGACGCTCACTCATGAATCAATGAAATCGATCGTTAATGCTTTGTTTCTTACATTATTTATCCCCTTTCTTTATTCCCCAATATGACAGTCACGTCAGGAAAGAATTTATCAAACATTTAACTCGTTTCATTTTTTTCAATGAATAAATTTGTACTTTAATACGATAAATCGCGGATAGAATATTGAAATATGGGACACAAGAGTCTTCCTACTTTTAGTAGCCTCCTCAAGGTTCCTAGAACTCACTAAAAAAAATTATTTTCGGATCCTTTAACGCTTGTATCAGCGTTGGAACGAACACGGTGTCGTGCGTTCGCCTTCGAAACTGCGTTTCCTGATCCGGGATGGGTGTTGAAAGAAAGAGAACCTTCGGTTATGGTACGTTTGCTTAACGAATTCACACAAATTTCGTGAAGCAGGAAGACACGCATATGTCACCTGTCGAACGACCTAGACCTTTCGACTTGCACGAAAACCTGTATGCTATGATTTGTATTCATCAACGAACATCGTTATCCTTCCCTTCCTGCTCGTTTTCGAATAGCCACACACAAACGCATCGCCAATTAGTATACGGAGAAAGTGACGCACTATAAACGTTTAACTTATGACAATTGAACTGCTCACACGAGCTCAATGATAATTTTCTAACTAAATAGTTCGATGAGCGATACGCGACGTTGAATAAAAATTGGAACTGGTGTTTCGAATATTGAAATATTTGTCGAACATCCATAAACTTACCACACAATGCCTAGCTTTATACATAGATATATGATACTTTATTCAGAAAAGCTTCAGAGGAATTTTACTAAGGACGTAAGGCACTGAATTTATAACTTACATCTTTTTCCGTTTAATACATCCAAAACACGAAAAGGGGCGGCCGAGGTTACGAAGTCTCCCCAGAAAACCGGTCTTCAGGACCCGCGTTTTTCTTAAACAAGGTCGCCGACGTGAAAATTATCGATCAAGGGTTCGTCGTATCACTTCAGCGTTCGTATCACTGGTTGCGCGCACCCACACGTTTTATCTATATATATGTATATGCAATATATGATGCACATAGAGACACACATACACGAAGTACACAGATCACCGAGGTTCTCACTCTCTTCTCGATTTAATTCGTCTAGTTGAAAGTTCTGGTCGCGCGGTGAGCAACGCGTTTCCGGCGTCTCGTCCGTTTTCTTAAGTATTTACACGTGCACTTGTTCCTCATCTGTTCTAAGCCTCCCGATACGACTGACAGTCGGATTTTTCACAATCAAGAAGCCCACGGGGTCAAATCGAACAGATATAGCAACGACTTCCGTTTGGGTTTCTCATAAATGATCGAAACCCATCTATGTTAATGCAACAAATTTGCGCGTTTGTATATGTCTATTGAATATCAACGAATAATTCGTTCGTCACGGAAAATGCGTATAAAGTGGCAGTATGTTAAGTCAAACGACACGATTCCACTCGGCGAAATTTCTCCCAGTATCAGAAGCCCTTTAAGTAGAAGAAAATCGGAGCGCGGTTACCGAAAAGGACGATGGTGCAAAGACACACGACCCAGTTGCACGTGCGAGCTCGCCTGTGAAACTGGGTTATCCTTTGTCCTAGCAGAAAACGCTCGCTAGTACGTCCTCGTCTTTCCGGTTCCTCCGCATCGTGACCAATAACGGTCCGTTCATCCTATTTGTTTCCTTCGTTTGCCACGCAAAAGTCCCTTTTGTACCTTTGACACAACCAAAACGAGTGTGTACTTGTATGTGTCCCAACGTGTAGAGCGTGGTCAGCTTTTTAGTCTTTTCTCTGCGTTACACTGCGACGTCGTTTTTTCAGCCTTATTTTTGATTGTTTCGCCGTCGCCTGAATACGACGCTGACCTATATATTCAGCACGAGCGATCGAGTAAAAAAATACGATCACACACGATGGAGATTAATTGAACACGTTGATTAAAAATAGCGAGTTGACTATCGATTTTGGATGTTTCCAATCATTGGTTATCGATCTTCTTATACGTTTAGTACTCGAGTATCGTCCGACGCGTCAAACTAGTCGGCGATCGAATAAGGTTTATCGATCGGCGGCCGCAGTTTAATAGTCCAGGGGATTCGGGAGCGAACACGTTCCCCGTGAAATGCACCGAATCGAGACAATCTAATAACACAGCAATAAAACCGATAACGTTACTCGTTCCTCTCGTTCCTCTTCATCTATCCCTCGATATCACTATTTCGAACACCGTCTTTCGAAACGTCCTGCAGAGTGGAACGCGACTCGCTTTACACGATGTCCATCCGCTAGACTGGCAGCTAGAAAAAAGATTCTCAAGCAGGTTCACTCGTTGAGTTGTCATAGTCGACGCATAGTCGTTCCTGGTTCGACGACGACCGTTTTCGAAAATAGCTGAGCAGTGTCTCTATCATGCGGCCGGTCTAACGGGTAAACGAAATTCCCGGCAGAGTTCGTTACACTTTCGATTGACGCGGGCGTGTTATTTACTAGTATGCGTGAACACACGCCGATTTCCGGGCGTGGTGTCGCTCCTCTGTCGTTCTAGCATTATCGTCACACTTCTTATCTATCGCGTCTACTACGCATGTTGCACCATAGTCGTTCGGTTTTTCACGGAGACGCTAGACGACAACGCGACGCGTATACCTCGTTTAGGCGTGCGTGTGTGTGTGGACCAAAATGGCAGCCATGTAGCGGGTATTACGTAACGATGCTCGCTTTTTTCCTTCCGTTCCATTCGTTAGCGACCCGTTTCGCAGGAAGCGGCGCGCGATAATTTTGAAGTCCGCTCGCTTGCTCTCCCGTTCATGAGCGCGAAAATCTGTACGCTAGATTTCGCGGGAGATGATAAATCGAGTTGTTGCGTTAAAACCGCGTCTCGGTTGCTTCGTTGTTACGCAGAACGATGATCCGATGGTTCGAACGTGTTCCTAATCAATCGCATGCGTGCAACGGCTATCCAACTGTTTGATAATGAAAAGACCAACGGTCCCATGACATTCGAGGGAATGGATACGTATGTCTCCGAGTAGTATCGATCGGCAGTTTCAAGTTGCGATTTACGGATCTTTAGAAATAATGCACGAGTAGGAGCCGGTGGATGTACCAAATTTGGCTGACCCCGACACGTAATTTCGCTTCTGGCAGTGTGCGATTCCTGATCGCGAGCGGACGAATCGTATAATCTCTTCTTCTCTTTCTTCTTTTCTTGTGGAGAGACCAGAGTTGGCAGTGTAGACAAAATCAAAACGAGATGTCGATCCTTTCCACAGTCTTCAAGGGTCGCGCCTTTCAAACGGCTGTTGCGAGTTCCTCGAGCGCATGCTCTGTGAACGTGATAAAAAACGCACTTGGTATGTATATGCGTAGGATGTCGGTGACTTTGGCCGTGGACGTCAAACAACAGCACGTTCGATTTAAGCGAGATATACAATAAAACAAATAATAAAATCACAGTAATAGAGTAAGATGGCGATTACACTTATTCGCTTATTGGCAGTGGTGCTTGTTTTTCGAGATCAGACGAACGAGGAGGAAGATTCATCAGTCGTTGAAAAAACAGTTTCGTACTTTTTTTTTTATGTCACTCGTGCAAATTGGTGCATTGACGATAGTAACGACGACGAGAAGGAGCTTCGGGCAGTTTCGAGTTTGAAAATCATCAAAAGACACGCGCGCGAGAAGAGCGGGCACGTACGATCAACGATGCGAACATTTCGCGACCCGACAGAGAGCTACATAGAAGAGAGAGAAAGGTACAGAACGATGGTGTTGAATATTCTCGGTTGATGGCACTTCCGGTTTCATGAGCCTGTACACTTTCTCCTGAATGCCGCGAATAGCGATATCGTTTTCCCGCTTAGAACTTCTTCACGGTGAACTTATTCGATCTCCAGTATTGCGCACGTCTTCGAACCGGGAAATTTCGTATTCGAATTCGTGTTCAGAATGGTCCTGCGACGAACGGCCGCGACGGGTCAGCTGTCAGTTTCGGTTGACGCGGGTCAGAGCGACACAGGAATATTCAGATCGATTTAGGTTCAGAGGTTGATAACCGACACTGATAATTCTAGAAAATGCAGCGCCGCGTTATTCGGTTTAATGTTCCCCTTATTAATAGTCCGTGTTCGAGATAATCGCGATCATAGGCAGTCGTTGGCAGCGAGCGAAGCGCCGGGTTTGCGCTCGATCGAGGAACACGGAGCAGCAGGTTGTCGTAGGTCGTAGGACGGTCCGTTTCACTGGTTCGCAGTGGCACTTCCGGTTGAGGCACGTGGCTCCGTGGCGTGTAAAGGTAAGGACGGGCCGAGTTTTCGCGCGGGACACTTCCTGTTTGCGGCAAAACGTCCATCACTGTCACCATCACATCCACCACCATCGGCACCACCTCCACCGTCACGCGTTCCTTCTTCGATTTGTACTCGTACTGTTGTACTCTCGCGTGGCCGGAACGCGTGTGTGCGTGGTAGGTGCGTGCAGGTACGCGTCCCTACGAATGTATGCGTAATCGTGCGTCGCGCGTGTGCACGTGCACGTGCGTGTACGTGGACGTGTTTCTCTCTCGTCTTTCGTAGGAAAGGTGTAAACCGAGTGTCGAGCTGAGTTGGCTTCGACAAAGTAGGGCGACGACTGGGACAGCGGCCACGGGCACCAGCGCTCACCGACGAGGAACCCGTGCGCCGTGCGGTGGAGGAACTGTGGAAGTGGAAGAGAGAACCCTCCTCGTAAAACGGCAGCGTTGCTGTACTATACGTTCTCCAGTAGGGGAACCTCTAACACCGCTCTGCAACAAGCCTCTAGTCTAGTCGATTGCTTAGCGTTACGCACGCCGCTCTCGCGGAAAAACTGTATCTGCATGCTATCTATCCGCCACGCCACATCGCTCCATTCCACTCCACGCTACCGAGATCGAAAGTCGCGTCCGTGTCCGTCCTCTCATCGTCGCTCCATTTAGTTTCGCTTCTCGTGCTACCGATCTTATTCCGGCTTCAACGTCCGCTTCGTCGTCTACACGACACTTCTATTCGTTCGTTTCCCTTTTCATCGCGAGACGTGTACCTATTTAGACTTTCTTCAGATTTCTAACGCTCGCTTGAACGTGCCGCGAATCCTAGTCCCATCGATTTTCAACGTCGAAACGTATAATCTCGAACGAAGAAGCTAATTGCTTAAACTTTCAGTGATTTGCCTATTGATTACGATTTTTTACATAAACATTTCGTCATGACGTTGGAAGCATTATATTCCCCGGTCTGTATGTAATTTTATTGTCTAGGGGTTAATGCGAGACGTGTGCGTCGATTATCATGAATAGACTTATAATTAAGTGACCAAGGCGCTCATTGTCCCGCTTATAAATGAAAACGTGTTACGTAACGGAGTATGTATTTATCGATAAAAGTACATTGTCCTTTTCGTCGGTGACTAGCTCTCGTCTATCGGTCAAAATTTTGTCCAACTCGTATACTTCTATAGCGCAAACACTATCTCGATCGAAACGCCAATTTCGATTGCCAAACATGTTCCGTTTCACGCGATCGCGTGACACGCGTGTTGAGAAATAATTTTACTGTAAAGCGAGGCGATGCGGAGCTCTTATCTCTTTAAGCCTAGTAGAATGTCTGCATCCGCCATAGAATGTTCGCGTTCTCTATTTTCGCGGCAAATCTCGCTTTGTAATATTGTTTGCGAATTAAATCTCTTTATGATTCAAATGCATTTGTGATCGTTAGTACAGATTTAAACTCATTACTCAATGAAGGCAACGTTTTGAATTGAAACCATTTTTCATAGAATAAGTTCCTTTTGAGGTTGTATGAACTGTAAGATTTCTGCCAAAAGTTTAAAACGTGTAATAAAAAGTTGTGTCCAATATTTGAAGCAATGACTTTTAAACAAAATGATTATTACAGAAGAGTAGATTTATAAAATTATTCGACCTGTTTTTCTCGGTCATAAGGAATTTTAACCCATAATTTCTAATACTCTAATAAATAGTTTTGGCATTTTTTGATTGGACTGTACGTGACTTGCAACTATCTACATTGTGTATGTATTATACATGATCTATAATTCTTATTTTTGCATATACTTTATTATATATCTTAAATAATGTCCTCGAAATTGACTTTATTTCAATTTTAAAGTATTCTTAAATCATATATTAAGAATTATACAAAATTACTAAGTTCTGTCATTGTTGCATTCTTATTTTTTTATAAATGAAATCAAAATTCTGTCATTCAACATAAGAGTTCAAGATGTAATAACTTTTTTAATAGACTTGCAAATTTTCTAAAATATTGTACAGTGTTTTATTAATCTAGTAATTGTTAAAATTTCAATGCCTTCTCATTGTTTTTATGTAAGAGTTCACACAACCTTAATCACAGGAATCGATTACATTGGAGTGAAAATAATTTATCGAATTGTTAGTGGTCCAAACACCGGGACAAGCGTGTATCTGTCAGGAAAACAGTTCCCGGAGAAGCGCGCACGTACATATATGTATATAGAATGGAAAGAGAAAGCAGCGAGGCATAAACTGCTTGCCTACAAGAATTGAGTGCCTATAGTAGTACATACATATATAGCACACAAAAAAGAATAATATTCTTGTTATTCTTTTACGGTCTAGGCCACGATGTTCGATAACCGAAAAACTTTCACCTTCCGAACCACGAGTTACACTCGCAGAGACCATGACCAAGGATCCCACAGCTGCGACACAGCTCTCTTGATCTTGATCTCTCAATCAGGCTTACATAAAAGCTTGTCCAAAAGTACATTGGAACCCACAAAAATATTACAAAATTTTAGACAGTTTATTTGTTAAAAGAAATATAAAACACAGAGTCTTTAATACGACGTGATCACAGATAAGAGGAATCGTAAATTGAAAATCTTTTCTATCTTGTACTTATGCTTTGAACTGACGTTTTAAAAGTACAGAAAAAGTGATAAAAGTGTAAGATCAATTATAAGAAAATATCCTTGTCGAGAGGACGTTTTCACGGAACGGGAGTACATAGTATCACAGCAGGAAGAATAGTTCTGTAAAAAGGAACAACACGAGTGGGAGATTGTTCAGGTCGAAGGCCAACCGGAGCGCTCCTTGGAGCACTGTACGTCACAAGGATCCTCCACGTCGCGTCGTTGCCCTGACCTCAAAACTAGCTGACTCTCGCTATCGCCGCTACAATTACGATCTCGCTATACACTGGCTAGAACTAGAACTCCTAAACGACGGCGACTGGCTACCTAATTGCCTCTCGCGTATCTGAACAAGTGAACAAAAATTCTTCAGAATTGAATCATTAACTTCTCTGACGAAAGGATTAGGAACTTCCTGATCTTTGCTACCAAGGATTTCGAACCAGGAACATCGTACAGTTAATTACGCATACGCGTAACATCCGACGTAAATTGTTTATAGGTGGAAGTTGATCGTTGAGCGTGATGTAAAGCCAGATCCAACGAATGCGAATGATATGTTCTGTTCCGAACGGTATCCTCGCGCATTCTGCCGATCGTTTTGCTGAATCGCGCTGGCTACATAGAATGATTCACGCGAGCAACACGCTGTTCCAGTGCTTTAAGAACCCGCGGATACTGCACGCGTCCTGTCTCCGTGATTTCTGTCCGTGAGGATATTTAAGGCCAGAAGACGGCGACGCAGGGGACGACATGGCAAACAGATCCGCGGCACGACGATGGCGCGGTGCTCAGTAATCGGCCGCGGTTAATGACCTTTCAGCGTGCAATTGTTCGTAACGAGCGGCTTTCGTCTCATCAGGGTCGAGACTCGGCTCTTGACGTTTCAGCCGGCATATTCGGGTCAACTATTGTTTGCCGCGGTATTAAGCGACCGCTTCACCAACGAACAATCTATTTCCGGTGACGAATAGTCGGATTCCCCCGCTACGCTTCGCTCTATCCGCTCCGCGCGACTCTACGAAGCTTTGGATTCCTTCGTTCCACGCAAGAACTGTGTCACTTCGCTGTTCCAATATCACCCCGTGTGTCGGTTCCCCGGGAGAGAGCAAAAATTACACGCTCCCCGGGGCTTCTAACGAATTTCTTTTCATTCCGACGCTCGTCTCGTTGGTTAGAAATCTATCTACTCAGCTCTTATCTTTTTTTTTTTAATTTTAAACAGTTACGCTTGGATCATGCGTCTTGGTATAAAATAGTTCATTTCTTCTTCTGCTGGAGTAGAAATATATCGAAGTAGAACATTCTCTTTTTACTTCAAACTGATTTTTTAATGAATAAAATAATCTGTATGTGACTCATTTGAATCTTTACCTCACTTCGTGATGGAAGAGATTAATACAAACTGTTTCATGCTTGATCAATTGCAAATCGAATATTTTTCATGATCGATTTTTCTACTTAGTTCTATTCTTTGTTTTTCGTTTTTTACTTCCAAGGAACGTTCAATAATGCGACGCATAATTATGTATACAAGTTATTGCTCATTCACGATGATAAGCGCATTTAGCGAGGAATTTATTAGCAATAATTGTTCTAGTCGTACCTTCCGGCCGTGAGGCAAGAAACATTATCAAAGATTCATAACTTATTATTATAGAATACAATCGTAACGAATACGTATAAATATTTTTGCGTAAAAGATATATTCTACGTATGAAAGATACTCCATGTATACGGAAGTGTGTAGATATAGAAAAACATAAGGCAAACCGAAAAATACGTTTGTAAGTGTGCGCTATGTGAATAAAAAGCATAAGAGAGAGCAATAAAATATTACGCGCAGACGTAAGAGATATAAATGTCTTGATTCTTTTTGCGATGATTCAAAAAGTGATTAAGCACTGCAGTTAATAGAAATACGCACGTCTCCCTTTTTTCTACGCGAATAGTTAATGCTGTGGTATTTTAATAGCATGCTCTCGAGTAGTAAAAACTTGTACGCTCTTTTTTCTGTCTAGCGTTTTACCATTTACTTCTATTTTTACTTTTTACTTCAAGAGTATCCTCTTAAACTCACTGAACGTACACGTATCGCATTCTTTGATTCTTCGCAATGAAATTTTATCATTAAGATGGTTTAAAATATATAAAATATGTCAGGGATGTATTGTTTTATTAATCTCGAGAGCATTAGAAGATATTAGGAGATGAAAAGGGAGTCTGCTAAAATACCGCGGGGAATTGAAAAAACCGTGGGACTCGAGCGAATTTTTACGAGAGGCAATGAGCATTTCGAAAAGGATAAACGATGCGGCTCATCTGGATTATCGTTTCCCGTTTCGAAGCTGCTTAACCGTTGAACGTCGCGGGGTACCGCAAGCCCCACTGACTCACAGAACTACTTTCCCTTCTTTCTCGGCGAGGTAGCTGGCTGTGGCTGACTGCTACCTCAACGGTGAACAGAGCACCGTTATCCGGCTGGCTCTCGTCGAGAGTGAAACGTTTGTATGCCGAACTCTGCCTTCTTCCCACGGAACAAACGTGACTACTCGGCCCACGACGTTAACCACGTTAAAAGCCTCTCCTCGCGCATAACCTTTCCCGTTTCGAACCCCTTTTGTTTCACGGCTTCTCTATCTTCCCGTTCGCCTGTTCATCTTTGCGATTCTAAATTCTTTCTCTCTCTATTCTTCATGCAGAATCTTT